AAACAGGTTCACAAAGAGTTCATTTCAAAGAACTACTGAAAGTTGTAGATTTTGTCAAATAAAACTGTTTTTAAATGCCTCTATTCATATTCCCAAGCAATCAGCACTGAAATCCTAGTTCTCCTTTTCTCTGCAGAATTACTCTGCTGGAGGATCAGCAATGATGCTGGCCAGTACGCCAACAAGAAGAATCAATACAGCTGGACTTGGGGCACTGAAGCAGCCAGACAATCGCTGCTCTAGGCAAAGTTTTTAACATCTTTCAGTGACAGCTTTCAGCTTCTTGTTTCTTTTTTGTTTTATGTTTAACAATGAGTGCTGGTAGCTGAGAGAGTTACTCTGATTTGAGGGTACGACTCCTATAGCCTCTAGGGTTCGGTATACTCCTTGGCTTGAGACAGACCTCTACCCAATTCTGCCATTTTCAGCATTTTCCCAAACAATTCAGTCTATGGCTGGATTTCCTCAATGACACATACAAGGATGCATTAATTTTTTTCATTTTCATATGCCATTATTCCTAAAAATACCATGTATCCATTCATTCAATTCATTCAACACATGAAATATCAACCTGTGCACAGCACTACTCTGTTAATTGCTGGAGATAATACAAAGTTTAGCTAAGACATGATCCCTGTCATGAAGTATGCTATATGGTACCAAGAGAGTTATAATATAGGTAGGTACAGGTGGACATATATGTACATGCATGTACAAATATGTACATCTATTCTTACTTACAGGTGCATACAAACTCCTGCCTACTAGAGAAGAGTCCTTAATTCAATGCCAAAGTCACAACTCTGTGCTAGTTTTCTCATCAGAAGCTAATAATACTTATTAATTTTAGGCAGTTTGAAAGGCTTTAAAAATGACTTTTTAAAACTTTCATTCATGCTTTTTTATAATACTGAAAAGTGATAGCTAAGAGTCATTAAAATTCAGTTTTTAGAAAAAGGGCATTCAACATGATATGATTAAATCCTATTACATAAACCACAAAGGTAACATTTAAACCTGGTAGTGTCTGTGTGCGGAAAGGACCACCTGACATAGACTTGTGGAAAAGCAGATTAAAGAAGCCTGTTAACATGTAGTTTAAAACTCAAAAGAAACTCTGAACAGCTGAAATGCCTTATAAATAGCTCAGACCCAGAGGAAGTGCAAACGTCTGCATTGTGAATTGTAGATCTTAATTACCGACAATGGCTGGTACAGCAAGTAGCACGAAAAAAAGTGAAACAGTTGCACTGTTCATGGTTGGCAATAATTCTTCAGGAAAATATTTACTATCAATCAGTTATGAGAAAAGGGACTCTGTGCTCGTAAAACAGCACGTTGCTTCTCATACCAGGACCATTTTGCTTCAGCATAATCTGAATTTAAACAGCTTGTTTCCTGCGGATATAATTTTGGAAATAAATAAAACAAGTCTTCTATCAAAATCTGGAGTGAGTGGAAAGGAACATCACATTTTTCTGTCTCAGTCAGTTGCAAACAGATTATCTGACTAAGAAAAAAAAACCCTTACAAACCATTGCTGAAGGTTTATCTCAAACTCATAAAGAGGCAAAGAATTCTGTACTGAGGCCAGAAATCCAGAGACATGTGACAACTAAATTCAGTCTGTTTTGTGTATATATGTTTAGGTAGAGGAAGGCAAAGCCAGAAACTAAAATTTTCAGCAATATTTTGCTGAAATGGCTTAAATGACAATTTTAACAAAGAAATTTGTAGTTTTCATTTTTCTTTACTGACAAAAAAAATCATGAAGGTTGACACACTAGACATGCTGCAATTATGGATTTTAAAGACTAAAGTGACAGTCAATAATGGCTATCTAATTAAAGCCACAATAATTTCAGCACTCATCTTATGTACCAAAATAAATACTGCCTTCATTAACTATAATGCTATAATTAGTAAGAGGGAAAGGTTTTATAGCAAGGAAAAGAATTTCATTGTCCCTAAATCCAATTGGGAACAAAATGATACTAATGAAAATAAGTCTGCCCCCTTTCTGAGTTTTAAATCTTTTCTTAGGTACCTTCACCATCTTTAATATCAAAGATATCATTGCTAGTTTGAAGTGACATTTATGATCCTCTGCTTCAGTTTCTTCATATTTTAACTAGACAAGAAGACTCTTCTCAAGAGCTGATTGGAAGGGTAAGATGTCAATAAAGTAACCTTAGATGCAACATTCTATAACTTCAGAGGAATATAATAGTATTGTTGCTAAAGGCATTAATGACAGATTCTGCACTGAAACAAATTTGTAGCTTCTATACATATCTTAAACAAAAAAGGAAGGCGGAAGTATTCAACAAGGGTTTTCAGCCATATTTAAGGCAACAATGTTGTTTACATCACAGCTAAGCTGGTCTGAACTAGTTTTTGTAAAAAAATGGCTAACACCAAGATATAGAAGGTGCTGTATGGGGAACTGATGGAAGAATCAAGACAGCAAAGTAAAGTAGCTTAAGAAACATATTTAAGACACATTGGAGCACAATTTGAATCAATATTAATATCTAGACCAAGTTAACAACAGCAGAAATATCAATGGCAGCAGATCATATGCCAAAATAGCTGCAGACTAGAAAATAGTGTCTGCATACAGTTCTACAACGGGGCAAAACCACCTTTTTTTTCAAAGATTATGCAATTGCTAATGTAACTAGAACTGATAACACTGATCTCTTCAGCTATATCTATTCTACACTAGCTCTTCCAAAGTAACATAAGATACCCTGTAAATAAAATGAGGAAATGTTTTCAATATTCTTGTACTCTCTGAACTCTTTGTAAAGAAGAAATTGGTTCTAACTACATATATTTGCTTGTCAAGAAACACCTGGCAATTGATTTACACAGGGAACAATGAAGCAGAATAGATGTTCAGGGCCAAGAAGGGATACAAGTAAGTTAGACAAGCACCAACAGAAAATGGTTAAGAGATATAAGCAGAAGAGGTCTGTGGAATCCGAAGCAAATATACTGGACTTAGTATGACTCTACTGAATTATCATCTGGTTAACACTAAGAACTACATTTAAGTTCGAGCACTTAATGGAGGTACCAAATGAGATTTATGGCAGGATAAGCCTAAAATGGGCAAGAAAGGGATGAGAAGGTCACCATCTGGGAGTGAGTCAGAATGCTGAGCATCGATGAGAAAACTTATTTCCACACCCAAGAGCCTAACAGAAATTATGCCATTGTACCAGATGCCAAAATATTTCTAACCATGCACCACTGAAGGAGAGGGTGGGAAAAAAAACACACTATACAGACACACACCAACATAACTAGCTAGCTTGGAGATCCTGGCTTACAAAGTATGGAGTAAACAAAAGGAACAGATGCTCACTTGGCCGGCTCTCAATAAAACTCATTAAAATTGTCACCCTGTCCTTGGATCTGTGCTCATGCTAAGATTTTACCTTGTTTAGCCAGAAGTCACCGACTTGTGATGAGACCCTAAGTGCAACATAATCTAGAAATTAAAAACAAAACCCTCCTCAAACACAGCAACATACAACCAAACGGAGCAGGGAGTAGGGGATGGGTGCTACAGAAAACAATTTTTTAGTTCTAAATAACTGACTGTAAATAAAAATATTTATAATTTATAAAAGTCAGACATGTCCCACATTTTAAAAGAAATCATTCAGACATCTTGATATCTGAGAGATCTAACTGCGAACCTTTAAGAGAGTTCTCTGATATTTTCCTTAAGCAGCCTTTAAGTTGCTAATCTGAATATAAATACTGGATCCTCATTTGGTAATCCTACCCACAGACTTCTGGATAATTTGAAGAAATAGTATCAGTAAAAACAAACAAAATATCTTTGCTTTTGGATTTGGGAGCATAAGATTGCAACCACATGACATTAGTCCTGTTTCTAATAATAATGGTGATACAGCTGAGGGCCTGGATATAAAATACAATAAAGTAGTTAAAGTTGCAAGAGTTGTAACAGCAATAGATCCCTAAATGGCTATAAAGGCAATAATTTTACAGATATTCCATATTAAAAAGTCAGCTAAACAAACAAAAACACTAAAATATTGTTTCAATTTCTAAAAGAGCTACTTGAATTTACTTAACTTTGGAATATCCAACATAACCAAATTCAGGTCAAACAGCTGACTAGAGGAAGCTCCTGAACATACCATGGACCACAATGTAAACCTGAGTAGTAGTAGATAGAAAAACCTCAATTCTCTATAGCTTGTATCTAAGGATCACCTCAGTATCTATTCCAAGGATAGCTCATACAGCAATGGCTTTTAAAGTACAATTATGGCAGATAGGAAGAAACTTGCAATAAGAAAGTTTGAGTAAATGAATTTCAACAAAGGATGGGAACAGCTAGTTTCAGTTGCAAATAGATTCATGTAGAATTTTGAAAAACTATTACGTATGACATAACTATTCTAATTTACACAGCAGAAAGAAGTAGCTTATATGCATGGTTAAACATGCTTGTCTACACAGTCCCAAAGCATCAAATACAGTGTTCTTTCAGCAGGTGCTCACCAAATAATAATAGATGGTGGGTTAATGATTACCATTTCTTCTAGCTCAGTTTTCATTCTTCCTATAAACATATGCTTCACTTATTCATGTATTAAAGCCTTAAATTGATTTGTAAAAATGACATTATATGGTATTCTACCCACCTTGGCCACACCTCAATTTTGTGATTATTGAGAACTATCCAGGCAACAAATGAGAGTTCATCTGAAACAAATCTTGACATAAAACCCCTGCAACAGATTCCATTGCAGTCAAAGCACTGCAAAAGGCAATTTCTTGTACCTAATTCGCTGCAACTCATCATATAACAACATGACAGAGAAATGATGTTCACTTGTATCATTTCTAAAATCAGCAATCCTAAAGGAACTTTTGTTTACAGCCACATTAGATGAAAATAATTCTCCTGGGTAGCAATTGGCACATTATTGATTTTCAATATTACTTACTTTGGCCACACAATTTTCAGTCTTCATAGCAGTACTTGCTAGACATACAGTTTCTTGGTTGAAGCAGAGTCTGGCACAGCTATTGTAAGTCTGTGAAAAGATTTTTTAAAAAAAAGTTTCAATACAGAAACACTACTCACCTTACAAATCTGCACATTTTGGTACAGGGGAAATAATTCTATAAATTCTGCATTTACTTTATGTCCCACATACAATGAACCATTACTTGCACCTGTAAATCACAGTTATTAGTCAGGATCAAGAATTAATGGGGGTATATGTTGAGGATACTTTTTTTGAAAGTTTCAGAGGAAACTGCTCAAAGTCCTACTTTGATAGAGCGGTGAGCTCAATGATGTGGGTAATTTATCCAACTATATCTCAACCCGTGCATGCATTTTCATCCTGGACAACTATGGTCTATGCTGAAATCCTGCAATCCCTCCAGCTCTGGATCTATGATCCCATGATCCTCCCATTGAACATACTGAAGAATTTCCTCTAACAGTGACGTTGCATGGATACAAATGGAGAACATGAATTGTCCACTGATTATCCCTATGATCAGTCCATTTCTTTTTAGGCTCATCTCTTTGATGATATATTTTGTGTTGCTTTTCCTTAACAACCTTCACTAGTAAAGGGGCAGCATGGTTCAGTAGAAAAGGTACCAACTCTGGAATTAGAGGACCTGGGTTCAAATTCAACCTCTGATGCTTATTATCAGTGTGACTGTGGACAAGTCATTTAACCTCTCTAGCCTTAGTTTCCCCATATGTATGATAAAGAGGTTTGCTAGATGGACTCTGAGGTCCCTTCCAGTTCTGTATCTATGACCCTAAGATATAATTTTGCAGACCAGAGGGGTGAAATTCAACCTCAAAATTCTACCGGGTTAAAATGTAACTAAGAAGCCATTTAACAAAATAAATAAAAATACAACAAGGATAATGCTCATTCATAGTTTTCTTAAGTCAATATGCAGCCCACAGGGATCCCTTTCTCTCTGAGTTTGATACCACTGTTGTAGCCTACAAGCTCTCCCACCACAAGGTATCCTTTATACTTATGTCAAAATCATATAACATTCCTTGAAAGATGTAACAAAAACTTTGTTGGCTAATTATTATCAATTGAGGCATAAAATTAGAGGGACATATTCTCGCCAAAGGTCTCTGGTGCTATCTTGGAGACTGTTCAGCACATAGTCTAATAGAAGAAGGATTCCTCATAGATAGTGAGGTCTTCCAAATACTCCTCTTTGTAGATGCCATTTTGTTGATTGTACCAAGTTCCAGAAGACTGTAGTGTTCCTAAGTAAGCAAGGTTCATAACCACTCAAGAGTTCAGTCTAACTAGCCAAACAGGAGAAACCAAGAGGATGAAGAATGCATATTGTCTAGACTAAGATATAAATGTAAATGAATGGGGCAGCTAGGTAGCTCGGTGGATAGAGCACTGGCCCTGAAGTCAGGAGGACCTGAGTTCAAATCTGGCCTCAGACCAAACACTTGACACTTACTAGCTGTGTGACCCTGGGCAAGTCACTTAACCCCAGTTGCCTCATTAAAAAAAAATGTGAATGAAGAGCTCATGAAGTTTGTTTATCAGACTGTAGCTCTTAGCTAGACATTGCAGATGGACAATGAACAGGAACCTGAACTGAATAGGAAGAGAGTAGGTTAACTTGCCTCTGGGAAATTATGTAGTGCTTTTAATAACCCCAAGCTTCTCTGTAAAACAAAGAACCATCTTTTTAATTCTTCCATTAATCTTGAATCTCTAAGTTATAAAAATTCTAATTCACAATGTTTTCTTTGGGTTTTATTAAATACAGAGCATCTCCTACCCTGGAGAGATGAACAATCTGTTGATTTCTATCTAAGGCAGTGTGGTATGGTAGAAGAACATCAGACAGGGACTTGGGAGAAACCTGGGGATGGAGCCCCCTCCTACCACTGACTGCATGATCATGACAGAGTTATAATAGACCCTCTGTACCTTAGTTTCTTCATCTGTGAAACAGGGCTGATAATGCCAATAGTACCTACTTTTCAGGGTTGATGAAGGGATCAAATGAGATACTGTGTGTAAATTGCTTTTTGCAAGCCTTAAAATGCTATGTAAATGCCAGTTGTTATTATTATTACATCACCTTTTTAAAAGCCAAGGCCTAAAATGAGGGAGAAGTAAGCTTATGGTTCAGGGAAACAAGAGAAAATATTTCTAACAAACTTTAATATTTACTCCTGAGAAAAAGATAAACAGGTCATGGAATCTTCCAAGTGATAATATGATGTATGTTAAGCCTCCAATTTTGTTAGAAAAGGATAAGATCCAAATTAAGATGGGGCAAAGAAAATAATCTTATAGGTTAATTTTAGTCCTTAATGAATATGTCAGTATATTAAAATCAGCAGTTAAGCATGACTGGTATTGCTGTTCAGGATATACATCATAACTGCAGTATGGCAAATGAAGATGAAGATGAAACATTAATAGCATGTGGCAAGTTTGCACGTTAGTTATTACAACTCTGGCCGATCCCAGAACAGTTCTATTGTATCTGAAGATGATGTGGATGATAAAATTATTTTTGTGTTTAAAATAATGCTAGATAGAAATGAAGAAGAAACTCAGATAACTCCTCTTATAGCTCATATTAAGGTTGAGGGGACTTTTTCTTTTATATTAATTCATTTTCTCAGCAATTAGATAAGGAAAGCTCTAGGGAAGAGAGAAGGTATGTATACTATGCCATCATCATCAAGTTTATTTTCGATTTAGCCAAGTTAATATTTTCTGAATTTACTCACCTAAGATATCAATCAAATTGTTTCATTAAACATACAATTTTAAGGTTAAAATGTAGTTATTGCATAATAAATATTTTAAAAGTTCTAACAGAGTGCATTTAAACACTTATGTTTTGTGCTCAGGGTGCAATATTTCTTTTGCAACTGTTCATACAACAAACATTTACTGCATCATAAAAAATACAAACCGCAAAGATCCCTGGATTGTTTTAAGGCATCTGAGAGGTCATTGACACTTTGGAAAGAACTGAAATTGAAATTTAAGTCTTAGCAAGCAGCAAGTTGTTAAAGGCTATTTTGTTTTCCTTCAAAATTGCTACTTTTTGGAAAGGAAACAGTGTAGTTTAAACACTGAACAGAATCAGGATTCTTTTGCATGTGGGGCTTTACCAAAGTGAAGCTAGAGGCAAATTACTTGACTATTTTATCCCTATTTGTTCCTTCTGTAAAACGGGGTGTACTGCTCCTGTCTGTTCATAAGAATCAATGAGTTAAAACTTGTGGAAGCCCTTTGATCTCAGTAGAGAAAAGGGGGTAAATAAATCCAATGTCTCACTATTACAACAACACTTCTAAGGTAGAACACAAATCAGTCAATACTCAAAATAGCTGCAGGCAAGATAGGTTTCTGCACTATTGCAATGTTTGAAAAGGTGGCTTCATTTCTGAACCAGAGGCAGAGAATTCTGCGTCGGAGTGCTTTAATAAGGTTTTATATTGCATATAAAGCACGCAAGCATAAACCGGTGAGATGCCTGCTTGCTGAAAACTACCTTCTCTGTGAAAGCAGGCTGTAATTCTGAACAAGTTTTCAATTTTCCCACTGCTGCTAGGGTAAAACATTTTAAAGAGTTTAATTTTTTACAATGGATTCAATGACATAGGATTATCTAACAAAGTAATGGCTAATCAATAGAAGGTTTAGTTGTCAGGTGAAACATATAACACACTAAAAGGGATTGATTGCCAGACTTCTCCTTATTTACTAGGAGGTATATATTTAAAATGACACAAACTTGTTACTAGGCTGCATTCTTTTAACCTTGCAAAGAGCTGCTTCAGAAGTCTGTTAAGCAACCCTATAGCAAAACAAGATATAGTATAATGAAAACGGGTGAGAGATAAGGGTGGGGGAACCTTACAGATATATGATGGCACCCAATTATGTCAGAAGCAAGAATGTGATCTTAGAAAATGCAAGTGAACAAAGCAACATCTTAGGAAAGCAGGAACTGTGATATTAAAAATATCACAGATGCTACCAAATCTGGTTCAATAAATGCAGAGCTATAGTTGATCTCATTCTGTATTGCTTTTAGGGTAGGTTCTTTTAGGACTTGTGCAGCTAGGCACAATAGTCTTTAAAAAAAAATGCTGTGTCCAGATTAAGTGTTGAATACAAAACAGAATTAGGTCCATATGGATTTTGACAAGCATAAATGCTATTTCCTTTATAATTTATACACAGTAGCTCAAGCTTCTGTATGAAAATATACTTTTTATGGTCATTGCAACCCAGGAGTTCAATAATATTTTTCCCTACTAAGTCTGTGATTACACAATTTATCAAAGAATGGTTACACTGAAATAAAAATAAAACAAAAATACCAACCCCCTATATAGTCTTCCTTCCTCCAAGTAATTTTAAGAATGCTGGTTATTAAATTGCTTCTTTTTGAAGAGTTTTTGTAGCTAGGCACAAATTGCCAGCCATGTTTTTGTTTTTTTTTCTAAAGTTATTAGACTCTAAAGAATACAGCAGAAGTGGGAAGTTATATAAACAAATCACTTCATCAGACTTGGGAAGATCACTTTTGTCTCACTTAGGAGACCTGCATTAATTACCTTTAAGGTCTTTTACATGGACTATTTAAAATAAATGCAATTTATTTATTTATTTCAAATGAGGTGCTTCTGCCAAAGTATTAAATAATGCCTACAAATACAAAAGCATTTTTATAAATAGGTAATTAAAATAGATGACTAAAATTAAGTCAAGCTGCAAAACATTACCCAGAATGCATTGTGGGTTTTTTTAATAAACATTTCAGGCATTTTTTTCCCCTATCAGAAGCCCAATGCACTCTAGCAAAAAAAAACCTGCAAGTTTTTAAAGAAAAAAAAATATATAATGAAATAATGCCAAAATCCAAACTAAAGTATTTACAGGAGAGTCCCTTAAGCATAGTTTGTCATACTGCAATTACACCTTGCTTAGTGCCAAGCCGAAGTCCTTAATATTACCACTAGAGGGAGAAAGTACTTTAACACAAGGCAATGGTAGATAGGATAGGGAATGGGTTTTTCTTGAGCAATTACCATAACAAAGCTCCCTTGGCTGTGTGTACCTTCTAATTACTCAACACAATTAAAATGACTAACCTAAAACAAATAGGAAAAAAATCTTCCTGCCTGATATCAAAGATTTCATTAAATTCTTGGAGTTTTTTTCATCAATCAAATCAGAAAGAAGGGAATGCTATCATATCCAAACACTACAGCTATTAAATGAAGTAAATGCTGCTAGATTTTTTTTTTAAAGGATGAACTGGATTTCTCGCAAAAAAGAAATGTCGTGGTATTTACCCATCTGGATGCTGCTTGAAAACAAATTGTCCTCCAAAGAGCAGAAATACAGTATGTTTTCTTTCAGCTCACTGGCTTATGAATTTGACTTTTTTTGTTGTTGTTTTGTTAATACACACTATAATGTCATTTTGTGTGCTGGTGATGCGCTACTTTTTCTTCTTACTCATCCAACTGTGTAAAGGAGCTATGCCCACTGCACTGCCATGCTTATACTAGGCTATTTAAACTCATGTAACTTGCTTGTTGGTGATTCTACGGAGTCATTCCAAGGCATTGGTTACTTGGAACAACCCAGGATTTAAAAATTTTAATGGGGGCAGGGAGGGGGGAAGAGAAGAGCAGGGAAAACAACTACTTGCTGTTTCTAAGAGGTTTAAATCCTTCCTTTTATAGGGTCCTGTCATTAACAGAAGATGACAACCAAGTCATTTTTCTTTCTGCTGACAATTGTGACATTTTTCCAGCAGCGTGCAAGGTGTTGAAAACCTGGCAGCTGTTACCTCCTGGGATGAAGCTACTTTTTTATCCTCCCTTGACAGTTTAACTCAATGGGTCAGCACCTTTAAAGACTGCAAAGTATCCTTGAAGAGGATGGAGGTTTGAATTACTGCTCCCTCCCTAATCAATGTAAACCCTCACTGCAGGTGAACTCTCCATCTATAGAGGTGCACAGGGGAGGAAAATGTAATGCCCTGAGCCAGATGGTTTTTATCTTGTTTTTAAAGAATAAAGGAACTAGCTAACAAGGGGGACAGCTACTTTGTTAGCATCTTGGCCTCTCTCATGGCTTTGCATCCCCAGGGTTCCAGCCATACAAGAGAAAGAATACAGAAAAACGTAAACACTTAAAGAAATATAACTAGAGGGCTGGGCATCATGCTGCTTTCAAAGAGTTTAGGGAACTCTGATGAATGCTTTATTTATCACTGCCCACGTTCTCAGGATGGTAAGTGGACACATACACAAAGTGCAGGGGGGTAGAGGAAGGATTAGACAGTGGTCACAATTTACTCAATTAGAGAGAAAGCCTAGGCTGACAGATCTTATTAGCACTAATACAGAAGCAACAGAAGAACTAGTATATCATAAGACCATATTTTCATAAGGTAACTTGTACTTCAATATATCCTCCCCAGGCTTTTTTCCTGCTTGTAGACGGGACAGAAAACTAAGAAAGTAACAGATACACTTTCTTGACTTAATACCTTAAAGGGGAAAATTAGAAAGAAAACTTTGGCCACTTCATATGTGAGTCAAATTGTAATCCATATTTTTATAATCAAAAGGAAAGGTGAAGTTTATAAAAGTGAAAGAACATTAATTTTCCACTAAAGGGTATGTTGCTTCTCTTTCCTGTTGCCCTTATTCCCTGCTGTTAGAAATGAAACGAGAAATCAGGCAGACAAAATGACTTGTCTGGATAAAAAAGGCAGTAGTGTCTCTGGGCTACTACTTTCCGTATTCAAATACTTTTCTAAGCTACTGTCACAGCAGTAATGGCCTTTTCTCAAGGATCTTAAAAGATTTCAAATAATCTTTGAAAACTCTAAGGTTAGTTTAAAATGGTACAGCTTTACAGTGTAACTATGTTCATATACTGCAAAAGGGAAAGAGAAAACTTTCTAAAAATATGGAAGAAGAGGTTCTTGAAATCTTATCAGAATGCTCTGGATCAACAATACCAAGTGAGGGGGCTGAACTGAAGTACAGCTTACATGATTCAAATCCTGCTTACACAGTACTAGCCCACAAGGCACCTTTGACACATCTTTCCTCAACAGAGCTTGTCTGCTGACCAAACCAGTAACAGCAAATGGCACTTCATTATTACTCCATTCAACAGAGGGAAGCGGGAGTTTAAACAACCTGCACTATTCCTTATCTTTAAAAACAAAACAAAAACCACAAAAGTGGGGTAATCAAGTTCAGGGCAGTCCTGGACAGCTGCCCTGTGACCTGCTTAAGTTGACCCCTGCTATTCATCACTCATCCCTAAGATTGGGAGGGCAAGCTCCTAGGGAGTGACCACCACAATAGACAGCTACAAGCCAACAGTAATCTGGTTGGAGCAAAAAACCAGATGGCACTGCAATAAATTTACAAATCTACATTCATGGAGCTGTTAAAACACCCAGGAGCTAAAAGGCTCTGAGAGCCCCAGGAGGATCTCTTACTTTCCTATTTCTAAAGGCCATTTCTCTTTAGAACACTGAGTTCATGCTCTTCATAAAGAGAATAGAGATAAAAACCCTTGACAAAGGAAGGAGGAGGGAAAAGCGTCATGACCTAATTAATCTCTAGTGCTTGGATCTCAACACTGAGTGATAGGTATTAGAAAAGTCATTTGGAGAGAGGGTGGGCAAGGAAGTTGTTGAATTAAATGGGGGGGAGGAGGGTAAAGCTGCTAAAAAAAAAAGTACAGAAAAAATTCAATCCCTTTCAAATACTGCATACAACACAACTTGCAACTGTAAAATAATTCAATAACTCATGCATTTATTTTTTAAATGAATCAGATTAGTCCCATGTGTGACCTGCTGGTCCATCTGTATGTGCTGGACTTAATGGGCACGATTTTCTCTTTTGCTTCAGTTTGAAGTCTGAGAGAGATAAATTTAGTTTAATTTTCAACAGATCAGCCTATCCATTTTCCAAATGGACCATCTGGACCAGCCTATTAAAATTAATTTATAACTTTGCAGAGTGAAAATTCGTTTGTTAGCTTAAATAAAGTTGCCAAAACTTTTTTTTCTCATGTCATTGTTAACTGACAGTTGTTTCTGTATAATAGTTATAGTGTTCCCACCTCTAATTTTATCTAACTCAATACAGTATTTCTATTCAGATGTATAGGTTAAATAGCTTTTCACCTTCAAGTGACCAAGTTACAATATTATTGATACTTAATTGAAACAAACAAATAACTCTCCCCAAAATCTACTAAAATGAACCAACTCCATCAAGGCAATTTATTTACAAAATGGAACACAGTACTTACTGAAAAGAATTTAAATCCACAGCAGATAAAAAAATAAAGATACAACGAACTTTAAGTTAAGTATATATTCCTGAAATTAACATTGTGTGTATATATGTGTATGTTTGTATCTATATGCAGAGATATTGATATGTAAACTAGAGCCCAGAACAGTGCCATGACACTATATAAATTGAAATTGCTACTGCTGAGGATTACATAATTTGTTTATCAAATCTGGCAGACCCAAAATGAAACTGACCTCTTTTTAGTTATGAATGGTGCTTTTTCTCCTCTCCATTTGAAAGACAGAGGGGAGAGAGAGAGTGAGAGAAAGAGAGAGAGAGAGAGAGAGACTTATTCAGAGAGACAGACATATAGAAAGAGACAGATCGAAAGATACAAGACAGTTAGCTATTGATGCTGTTGGCCCCCTTGAAAACCATCTTCAATGGAAGTGCTATATAATAAAAATGACCTACCCAGGTGGGTAAGAATCTAAGTTAAGATCACAGAAACTATGGCTTTTGGAAGCAATCTATTTGTATATTCATTTGGTACCAAGGAAAGATGGTAGAAAACAGTATTAACAGAGAAAAATGCATTTCTTTCCACCCTTGGGATGCTCTCATGACCATGCTGACTTTTTCTGTTGTTTTCAGAATTTCTTAATTCTGTAAAAAAAAGGCACCACAAAACTAAACTTTCACAGGTAGAATGTGTATGTCTTTGAAGGAAACTGGAAAAAGATATGGAGAATCAAAGACATCCCAACACATATACACAACTAATACTGTCTCTCTCTTTCTGTCTCTGTCTGTCTCTGTTCTATCTGGGAAAAATGAGATGGAAAGGAGAAAAAGCACCACCCATAACTAAAAAGAAGTTAGTTTCCACTTTAGGTCTGTCAGGCATGATAAACAAATTACATAAATGACTTTCCTTTATAATTAAGCCAAATATTGACCATGCCCAAGAAAAAAAATCAAGTTCTTTTTCCTGCACAAGGAATCTTACCTTCATTATGATTTCATCATATGTAAGAAATTGACTGTCATGTATTTGTTCACCACAGATATTGTGAAATGATTTTTTTAAGACTAGAAATTTATATATCTATATATAGATATAGATATATATAGATATATAAAGCCAGTCTAAATTCTAAGTACTCCAACTCCAGAGTAGATAATGGAAAGTTGAGGATTGTTGTTTGTTTTGTTTTGTTATTGGAGTGTGTGTGTGTGTGTGTGTGTGTGTGTGTATTTAAAGAATTTCATACCTGTCTAAGTGAATTCTTCTCTGGTATTATCTTCCTAGGGGGCTCGTCATTATTACAGTCTTCTCTCTCTGAGGAATTCTGTGAAAGAAAGTAAGCTTTAATTCAGTTCTCATCATTTCCAACATTATTCTGTGGGAAGAAACTGAATAACAACTATCATTTTGCAAGATAAAACATTATATATCTGTGGGCTTAATTATGTGTATGTATACATATGCATATATATGTGCACACATGCATACACACGTACAACACAATACATGCAGGGACACATACAGATATTAAAAACACATGTACATGTTGGGTTTTTTTTTGGGGGGGGGGGGGGGGGGTGTTGCTTCACAGATGTTTTAGGCACTAATGCATATAATAGGCCAGGCTTATCTCCTTCTAAAGCAGCAGGTAACTAGATGCAAATAGGTACATGTCTAGGCCTATTTGAGGACCATTTAAAGTATGATCAAAATATTCTCTATATCCTGTTTCAAATGAGTGATCTTCAACTATGCTAGATGATACGTATGGTTAAAAAAAACCATATGTTAAAAAAAAAGTCAGTGGCAATTTTAATAGTTGGCTTTATATATGTTTCTAAGTCTGGGTCTCAGCAGAGAAGGGATTAGGAAGAGGCAAAATAGGAAACCAGTCAACTAGACACTGGTGGTAAGGGTACTTCTGAATATTATTTCTATGAGAGGTACTTTTAAAAAAATGTAATACATATTTTTAATGTAAGAAAATTCAGCTTTCCATGGCATAGAGGTATTTATTTTGTGAAAAGTCAAGTCTCCAGTGTCAAGACTCACGTTACAAGCAGGGTTCAATGCCTCCAGTGGATAGTAACTCACCAGAGGAGCAATTTTCAAACCTTACCCAAGTCATACTGATGCCTTGTTCTGGCTCTCCTGGGCCCTCAAAACTTTCTTAGCTCTTTTCTCTATCTTTCCTAGAGGACTTATGTCAGAAAGCCAATACTAATTAGATAATTAATTCATTAACTCAAATATGAGTAGGATTGATTTCTAAAAACTGTTGGCCTCTGTCATTACCAAATAAAAGGGATAACAAAGGGATTTCATATACTTAGGAAGAAAACATAACTAAATAAAATTTCCTTTAAAGCAAAGTTCATAAGTAACAACAGTTACACTAAGTTATTCAAGCTAAGTAAGTTTTATAAATTAGAAAACAAGCATAATTCCAACAATTTTAGCATTTACATTTATAACACTAAAATCTGAACTATTCCTGTTTTGAGATAGTATCATTTATTTAATTCTAACTGGAAACTACTTTGTTTCCAGAACTGAAAACTAATTGTAATTGTTAAGTCTCTATGAAAGTTTTCATATAAGTTTCAAATCAAGCATCTATCCTTATTCTACAGCAGGAGTTCTTAACTTTTTTTGTGTCATGGACCCCTTTTTCAAAATACTGTTTTGAAATACATAAAATAAAATACACAGGCTTACAAAAGAAACCATGTATAAATAGTTATAGTTGTTTTAAAAACAAGGTCATGTATCCTAAGTTAAGAGCCTTTATTTGAAGAGTATTTGAGTCCTTAAGGTTGACAGAAATTAGACATGGTTCTCTACAATAGCTCTAGAGAGCCAGAGCTCCTTTTGGGTAGATACAAAAACTCCTATACCTTACTTGGAGGTTAATTTCGTGATATTTTAAATTTATGATGTCCTCAGTAAGATGATGGCTCTTAAAAATGTTAGAATTAGATAAAGAAAAAAAACACATATTATCATAAGCATTGGAAAGAAAACTAAAAACTTTTGAGATTTTTGTTTTCTCCATATCAAATGAAAGAATGATTAGCGACTACTTTTAAAAGAGTAATACAGATTGCTTATTATTTGTAGAGTGCTAAATGAAAAAACTGTCCACAAATTATAGGAGTGTATACAAAGGGAAAAGTCAAGTTCAGATCTATATCATTTATGAATTTATCTTTAGAAAAAATATGCAGTTCAATTTTTAAAAATTCTAGTAAACTAACTTATACAATAAATTTTTTTGCTAATATCTGTAGCATCTAATTTATAAGCAATTATTTCCAAACCCACAAGCTGTTCTACAATCATTTTTGATCAGGTAATTCAAACTTGGTTAAACGAATACCAAGTCTCTTGTAATTACAAATTAATAAAATTTTGGTGTATTGAATACTTGTAAAACCCTGTTACAACAAGCTGAAATGGCAAGATGTTTTGTTTTAGAGAAATTCAGTTATAATAAAAACATTGTTACAAAGCTATAGGTACTCAAGATAAAAGAAAATACATGCCAAGCTTTTCTACACTATATGAAAAGCAACATTCTGAATCAAATCAACAAATCTGAATCAAAGGAACAAGTGGGAGATGTCATTCATATATATGTATATGTATATATTACATAATACACACACACACACACATACACACACACACACACAAACTATTTTCTTCCTCCAAGTTTCTAACACTTCCTAACACTTTGTACTCTGTGTTGTTTGATTTTGGTGGATGGGCATTATTTCCTGTCAAGAAAAACTGGAAGGTTATCTGACGTATTAAGGGTAACAAGAAAACTGGAAAACTGAAGGAATAGCTCAACTAAGGCCTCCTACCAGCAATGCAAAGAACATACAAGTACTTTTTGTATAAAGATTTAAAATAAAAAGGGGTCAGAGAAAATGATGTTAGAGTAAATTATTTATAATCAAACACTTTTTCTATGAGTCACCCAACAATACATAAAAATAACATGAAAAACAATGATCTGTAATGCTATTCCACATGATAAGATTTTATTCTTGCATTTTATAACAGGCCAAAGTTGGTTATTTCTAAGCCAAAATGGCATGAAAGTTGACAGCTCATTTTATGGTACTTCACCCAAATAATTATACTATTTTATCTTACTTCAGTGAAACTGGGGCAGTCTTCTGGAATGGCTCTGGACTCTCCCCACTCTTACCCCTCCCCATTTTCTAGTGGCAAAGAAACAGCAACAAAGCATTGAAGACCTAAAAGCTGAAAAGCCAATAATTAGAGCTTATGAGAGAAAGCCAGTCAATTCCCCTCTAAGAAGGAAAGGAGTCCTCAAATGAGTTTGCTAATATGTCCATTACCAAAAGAAGGCCAGGCTTCTCATACAAAAGCAGAGAAATGTGGGGAAAAGAGAAGACATTGGAGAAACAAGAAATGAAAAAAGTAGAGAAAATAAGAAAGAAAAAACAGATGGAAATTGGCAATGGCGGCAATAATTGGTTGCAATGGGGGTGGTGAGTAATACATATTCTGATAACAGAGGAGAAATAAGCCAGTGATGAAGAAACAAAAGTCAGACTACCTTTGCAATTTGGTAGGGCAAACAACAAATTGCAGAGAAGTACTGTAGCCTTTGAAGGGATGGGACATCTCTTAGTGTATGTGGAACATATATAGTCACCTATATTTCAATACCACCAACCCTGAAATACATAGATCATTTTTCATGCATTGGCATTCACCAAATAGCCACCTGTAATTGATCTTGAAAGCATCAACTACCTACAAAAAGCCACTCAAGCCACATCTAAAAAGCCACACCTTCAATGTTTCCATGCATCCCTCTGGAAGTATGCCAGCTAACACATTTCAGTTAATTTATAGGAGATGTGAGGGAAAACAAAGGATTTGTCCTTCATTTGAATCTATGGCACATCACAGTAACTGACTTTCGAAATGATGACCTTCAGTCAAGAAAAGACTAAATTATACTCTATTTAGGAAGGCAAATATATACATAGTGTATTTTGGAAAGATTTCAATAAAAGAATCAAAATTTAAAATCCTAGCAATTAAAGTGAAGTAAAAACCTCTATAGTAAACTATGCTAGAGGAGTTCTGTTGGAATTCTAAAATAATAGCTTGTTTCAGTAATTTAAATATCTGGTTTCACTACAGCAAATACTCTCTCCACTGATGCAGATCACACACAACTCTTCAACAAAGTAAGAGATGGTGTTACAAGAACTGTATGTGAAGTAAAGGTAAAAGGCATCAGTAAAACAAAACAAAACAAAACAAAAACAACAGAATATGTGTGGCTGAAAAATCCTACAGCCAACAGTGATTGGCTGCTCTGACCTTAGGTAGCCTGTTCTCAGAAGAGAGACAGAAAGCCACCACCAGGCCCATCCTCAAAGCTTTTCCAGGTTGGTTTTACTTCCTAGAGCTTGTACTCTGATACCAGAAACCAGGGTCACCTCCAAACTATACTTGAGATAACAAGGTAACATTTTAGGACTCAATCACAGTTAAAAACTTTCTGGAGGAAAAACTGATATAACTAGCTATACCTTTCATAAAATAATGCTCTTTTGTTAATCTACTTACTTTCTTGTTCAATAGTATTAATAAACTTGGCAAAGGTACAGAACCAAACATTTCAATTACAACTTTGGAGTCAACTTCAGACTTTTAATTTGTTCAGGGCTATAATAACGTTAGCATTGTAGTTGAAGTTTGAGAAGTCAAGGGAAAACACATAGCATTTGTGGGAATACAATACAACATCAGATCTTAAGAGTGCATTTTGAAATGCTTCCTATGTAGCAAGAACTTGGTGCCAACGTTTGTTCAATGAATGACAGAAGGCAAGGAAGGAGGAATGTTGAATAAAAGAAGAGCTGGACTAAGGGTTCAGGAGACAAATCAAGATCATTTCAAAATCAACATGTACAAAACTCCTCTTCCTTTCTCTCCCAATTTCCCTGTCACTCATCAATGCTGCCAACCATTTCCCCAGTCACTCAGCCTTGAAAGCTTGAGATAATTTCTGACTTATTCTTCTTCTTCACTCATGGAATTTGGTAAGTTATCAGAATCTATCAATTTTTCCTTCAAAATCTCTCTCATATCTATCCATCCTTCCCTATATCTATAATTCTACTGTTACTACTATCCTAGTTCAAAACTATCAATACCTTTTGCCTGGATTATTGCGAAAGCTAGTCTCCCTAACTTGAGGCCTTGCCCCACCTCTCTTTCCTGCCAATTACCTGCTTAAAAGTGCCAAATTAAATACTTCCTTAAATA